TTGTGTGATGAATTTAGTATGAATTTAGATCTAGATTCTTTTATAGATGAATTTTATGCTATAAAACATCGTCGGGTGAAACTGTAATAGGCAACATTATATTACAATTTTCTTGTTATATATAAATTTTGAAAATTTTTGCCCCCGTACCATTAATTCCTGGCTGATCTGTCCCTTAATATAAGTCTTCCTTTAGCTCTGTATGGGTACAACAAAAAAATTATTCAACGAAGACATGGTGGCATGAGTTATGGCAACTGAGCGCTACATCAGGGATTTGGTAAAATGACAAATCATGCACTTTATCGTTTCCAACATTTTGTATACAAGTGTAAACTAAAGGAGTATCTAACATTGCACATATAATACAACATCTCAACGTATGTTTCTACTACTTCAAAAAGTTGATCAAGTACGACAATTTGATATAGCATCTCAACGTATGGTTCAACTCGAAATAAAACGTGATTCAATCAAATTTAATTTCATCATATACTCGAGTCAATTAAATGTTCCAAATCTAACTATAAAAAAACTGGAAATGTAAAAGCATTATATGTAAATTGTAATCTAAATTAATTGCCTACTGCACATGATCTAATTTATGATCCTCATTTCCGTATTCTCACATGGCACAGCGGGAAAGGATGCTTACAAGTCCGTTTATTATGACATTTTCCTCCTACACCTCCAAGTATTCTTTGGTTGCCTCGCGGTATCTTTGAATTAGGTGGGAGGATATGATTATGACTTCCATTATTAAAAATCCTCAAGGGTTTGTGACCCCCAATGGAACAATGTCACCGGCATAGGTGTCGATGTAGGCGTCCTTTATGTTGCAATGTGAACAGTACTTGTAAGGATGCTCTCCCTTCTCACCTATCACCGCCAAACCGTGTTGACATGGGGCATCATCCACCTGAAATCGGTTACATGTACACGTCATACATGTCAAGTCTACAATATGCTCTGTAAAATCCTCGGTTACTTCGTACAGGAACTCATTTGAAGCTGAAACCTGCCACAATTTGAGATAATTGAATGAAATATATTTATTTGTTTTACTACAGATAATGACACAACAAATCATCGTCGTTGCAGTTAGTGACGATTTTATTACAAACACACGCAACATCAAAAACATTTGGGTGAGAATATGAAAAGCCAAAACTTTTTTCGAACTGTATTCAGACATTTCGAAAACATAAGCAGACAGAATTATGACATGTTTATCATCACAAAAATCACTATCAAATAATATATTGAAGGCTGAATGATGTATCCAGAACCAGATTCCTTTTTCAATATCAGATAATTTGTTATGTATCAATTCAAATCAAAGAAATCACAACAGAAACTATGAAAATTACATAAATGTATTCTCTTGTTTTGGTACCAAATGCAGTGTACAAATGCATTTTTTTAAATCTTCTTCTAAATTGTATACAGATTTCGAAGGAAGAATTGAACATACCTGGTGCGAAATAGAATTGAAATCTAGCAATCCCTTCAAAAAAAAAGAAAGTACCCTGAACGATATTTGTAAAAGATGATGTTTCAAAATATAATCTGCGCCAAAGAACTGATATTCTCCAATACGTTTCGTTTCTTTTTTTTTTTTTTTAGTTCGTGTCCGATTTTGTAATAGTCATTAAATGCAGAATGTGAATTGGGCTGAATTCAAAGTGCTTACAAGAGTTTTGCTACACAAACATAATACTTGATATAAGGGATGACACAACACACACGTGGGGAATGTCGGTATTATTTAATTCAGGTCGGGACCCACATGTAATGTGAGAGGTCGATCAACCCCTATGTCAAGTATTTTGTTTATTTAGCTTAATTCTAGTTACAAAATGTGTTTTGGGGTATATTTTTGGAAGTTGTGTATTTGAGAATAATTAATATAGTAATTAGTATTTTTTATTACATAGTAATTTGGGAATTAGTTTTTGGGAATATTCATAAATAAGAGTTTTAAGTATAACTTATTTCAAAATTAAGATAAAATGTTTAAAATTTCAAAAATCAGATATTTATTAAATTTTATTTCTAAAATAATTAATTAAAAATGTATTTTTTAAAAAATTAAATATAATGTCACATTTTTATACAATTTGGTCACAAATTATCAAATTAATTGATTACAAATAAATTCTCGATCACAACTAACAATTTTATTGATCACAAATTATTGTACGATCACAAATTTATCAAATTAATAGTCACATATTATTTGTTGGTCATAAATCACAAATTTTATAAGTCACAACTTATTTCATGTCACAAAACATCAAATTAATTGACCACAAATTATATTTAGGTCATAATTTATCAAATTATTGGTCACAAATTAATAAAATTTTAGGTCACACAGTATATATTGGTCACGATTTATCTATTATATTAATCACATATTGTTTATTGGTCACACACCAATCAATTTATTGGTCACAATCAATAAAATCATTTGTGACCACCACATCACCACTACTAGTAGCCAAAACAACCGTAGCTAGAATCACCACCGTCTCCTGGTAGCAAAACCATCGTCTCAAATACCATAGCCAACATCACCGCAGCTACCACTAGCCACTCACAACCACCACCCAAATACCATTAAAACCACAGGTCCATCACCACCACCTCCCATCCAACAACCAAGAAAAAAAAAATCATCCCCACCATCGCGATCTACACTGCTGCAGCTATCATCTGGGCTGCTAGAGATACAATCTACTACCACACCCACAACATACCACCACCGCAACACCCACAACATACCACCACCACCACCATCTCCTATATCTCCATTTACACCACACCCAACCACCACCCCACCAAAATGTCCACAAACTCGCCGCCGCCGCCACAACACACTATGACCTCCTGCACCATCAACTCCTCAAAAATCGCAGCAAAATATATCAAAAAATACCACGAAAACCACCGCACAACGCTGCAAAATCACACAGAAAAAACCACATCGAAGTGGCTGAGCAACGATCACATGCTACTTCGCACAATGCTGGTATGGGACTGTATCGCTACAGATAGAAAATGGAAAAGGGGAGAAGGGAGATGAGAGGGGGAGCAGCGGTAACACTACTGTAAAGGTTCCACTTTGAGCCGCGCGAAGAGTGGTGCCGCGAGATGGTGGTGGTGGTAGTGGCGGCAGATGGCTAGAGAGAAGGTCGGATATAGAGAGGAGAGAAATGGAGAGGATAAAATAATTAGGATTTTAGAGTGTATGGTTGGGTAGAATGAATATATAAATTTAAATTTGTAATATAATTATTAA